CGAAAATAATATAGAACATTTTTAACACGGTTATTTTTATTCATTTCGTAATTATTTACAAATAGGATGAGGAAACCGTATTAGATATTTTCTTCATTACTATAGCGCTCCTGTATTGTTGAACTAATTGTTTATTTTAGAACAGTATATTCACTCCCACCAAAGAAAAATGAATAAAGCTACACATGACTCATCTGTACACTTCTTGTTGCCATCAAGGAAATGATCGTTTTCGGGAGGGTCGATTGATAAAAGACAGGGCACTCTGTATAAAATGACATAGTTTACAAAAGGAAATGCTTCCCTAAAAGCTAGTTTAGTTTGTCGTTGTGTTCGTTTGTTTTTCGCGCTGTCTGTCTAGCTGTTAAGTAGTATTAATTAAGATTCGCGCGCGCGTTGTTTTATTAGTATTAAGTATATATAAGTCTTCCTACTAACATCAACACTTAGCTATTCTTCCGGCACTCAATCATTGGTGTTCGCTACACTCAGGTTTACATTTAGATCCTTCGAGGGACTACGACTTGCAGCCTATAAACTGCACCCCAGCATCAAACATAGAGAGTACTGTAGCCATACGTAGGCCATTCAGAGTGATCCTACCTTTCTCTACTCTCTATCACCCTTCTCTTCGTTCTTTCCTTTCCTTTTTTTCTGCCGGCTAAACACCTCGTGTACGGCCGAAGTCTTTCTTGTATGCTAGTATGTATGGCAGTGTCTAATTTTCGTGGACTACCCCGAACTCGTGGATTTCTCCCCTTTTTACTCTAAGTTTCCACCAATCGGATTTTAGTATTCTGATCATCTCACATGACATATATCTGACGAAAACAACAGATGCTCGTCAGATATAAGAGTCGATCCCCCTATAACACTGTTTATAATTTCGTTTTATGTGAATTCCATGTTGTACGAGTCACTTGGATTTTACAAATACGTGTGTTGGGCTGTGAACAGCTCACGTATTTGTAAAATCCAAGTGACTCGTACAACATCTAAATTAACAATTCATCCGTTTAAATTTATTATTTATAAACTAAATTTGTACTAACGTTGCTCTTTAGAAACAACATTGAAATAATTGCTGTGATCTTTCCGAGAGTGTTCACCCCATCACAAACTCTTCACAACAATATTCGACTAACGTTAAAACATAATTTAGCCCAATACAAAAGAATGTACAATGATGCAACACGATTCAATTTGTTTCCAGATAAAAAAGATTAAATTTTATTACTACGTTTTTATTCGTACCATAGAAAAACTATTCTTACAACATGTGTACTTGATAAACCTACATCCACGCAATCAAAATTGTAGTTTTCGGTTGGATTCAGCAGTTCAAATTGAGGAAAATAAAGATAATCAACAGTGGTAACAGAAGGAAATTCTGACTTGAATGCTTCTAATATTGGTCCCATATTGTTCTTGCAGATCCTACGAAAAATAAATGCGAAACATCTCTTTTGCACCATTTTGGGTTTTAAACATTTCAGTCTTTTCAACTTTTCTTTAACACTACAATAATTGTTTTCGATACGTTGGATACATAAAGAAACTGCTTGAAAGCTTTGGCCATAGAAAGCAATGCCTTTTCTGATCTTCTTTTCGAGCGTGTAAGTAGTGAATTCACCACTACCATCGTCATGGAATTGGATTCCATACTCTCTAATTCCAATGACGCACTTCAACTTTTCTTCGGGTATATTCAATAGCTTCGATACGTACGATATACCTTCTCTATTAATTGCATTTCTTTCTTCGATTGTAAATAAAAAATGACGAATATTTACGCCTGGAGATGACGGAAACATTGCGATACTTATTTGAATTTCATCTTCTGTTGATGGGTGCACATTAAATGGTAGCTGAAAGTTTTCTTCTGTAATTAAGTAAATCGTTAAACACAAATACTGTTTATCATAGAAGAGATAGTTGTGACAAATGCAAGTACTTACTGTTTTTATTTTCTTTGAAGAAGGTAACTGCATCAAATACTTCATCTTCTGTCGGTGGAATTTTCTGTTTGGGACAACGTGGACACATCCAATGGCAATCGATACGTGGTTTCGAATATAACCATAAGTACTGAAAGTTACGATTATATTTGACGAAAGGACGTAGTTTTTCTGGATTCTCTGCTAAATTGTTTAGCATTGAAATTGGTATTTTCTGTTAGAATATGATAAATTAATTAGACAAAAGTTTTTCATTTATATATTTTAACACACCAAACATAATACATAAACATACTTTTAGTATGGTATATTTATCATACTAAAAGTATGTTTATTGTTCAAATAGCTAAATAGTTTAAATGAAATAAAAACTATAAAAAGAGCCATTTTAATATGTATTTCTTTGTTAATATTAAATATAAGGTGTTATTTTTCTATTTTGTGTTTTTATGTGTGTGTGTAAGAGAGAGAGAGTAAAGGATTCTTATTGCAGTCTGGTGAATTCTATGCACTTGTTTTCAGAATAAAGTGATTTTTTAATGTGTGATTTCTATTGATGTAAAATCTTACTGCTAATGAATGCTAATACGATAGATAATAATGCTAAATAAATAATATGATAATAATTCTAAAATGATTTTAGTTTTCTGGTTGCATATATAATTAAAGAAATATTAAACTTTAATCAGGGAATAAAGATGTAGTATTTCTAAAACTGGTGTCTTCGTCAGGTTCGATAATCTGCAGGTTAACAATGTCCTGTGCTAGAAAAAATAATTTCAGGAAAATCTCTTATTGGAAACATAACAAGAACTGTAATTTGAGGGACTTTCCACGTGTGGAAATTTAGCGAAAGATTCGGGACAGTAAAAAAACAAGGGGATTCAAAATCATCTGGATAAGAATTAACATCTTTTGGACAAAACGTATTTTGAGTAAAGCAAGCATCTTTGACTATTGGAAAAACGGTCATTCACTTCACACAACATTCGACAGGCAGACACAACAAGAGTATATATAACAGAGAAGAAGAAGGCGTTTTTACAATTAGAGAATTTAGGCTATCTCCTAAGGACACCGACATACGAAGGCATCAGTCTTACCCATAAACAAAGAAAAAATTGTTCATTAGTTTTAATCAATAAAATTATTTTAAAATGCTTGTAATGATACTATTAGTGACCTGAATGTGTATATATATATGTGTGTGTGTGTGTGGTGTGTGCTTGTTTGAGTATGATAATATACATACATATTCGTATATATATATAAATACACAATGTATAAGAATCTTAAATTTTATTTGTCTAAGTCTCTAAGACGTCAAATCCTTTAGCGCTCGGTCTGGAAACAGAATAATTTTTAAACAAATATATTGTCAATACTTATGGATAACCAAGCGCGTCGAAGATTAATCAAAATTTTAAAGAAGTTAAGTTAATTTAAATAATTAAATAATTTATCTCAAATTCGAACTCGAGATCAATTATTCCGAATTCCGTTCAAATCACAATGTCTTGTGTCTTCACAACCTTTAAAAAAATAATGGAAATCGACCAACTTTTTTACAAATACAAGTAGTCCGTTTTGGTTTGGCATGATTTGTATGATTTATGGCAACGCGACACGTGGCCAATCTGCCTAGGGGGATGTTTTCCGGGAGGTCTTTTGATGGAATTAATTATATGCATGATGAGTAGGAAAAATTGACAAAGTTATTTACTCTATCGTGTGGTCACTGTATAAAGATTTTGCTGTATTTATATACAAATTGACAGTTGAAATTGCACTCTAAACCGTTTATGCATGTATGAATAGATCGTTGAATAAAGACTCATTTCAAGACTCATATTCAATACTCATTTCATACATTCTCGTGTAAATATATAGAATGTTCCATACTCTAATAAACTTTTAATACAATATATGGAACATATGTCCCGTACAATTTTCTTGGAATTGAATTTAAATTTTTTCTAAAATTAGGCATATAGTTATAATTATATTGGTATAATTAAAATTAAGTAAGCTGTCAGTATGTAGAGTAAAAAGCGTAATAAATAATTAGAGAAATAAAAATTAAAGACATAATTACCTTACGAAACATTGCTATTTTTTTATACAAGATATCTTCCGTGACATCTTTCCAGTAACTACATACTTGGCCACACTGTTGTAGATCTTCATCGTTTAGATAACCAAATACATGTAGTAGAATTTCTGGAATTCTTAAGACACGAGACGAGATTTCTTCAGATATTGACGAAGTCTCTGTCAACGAATCTTCATTTTTCCTTTTTTTCATTTTGAATCGGATTTTGTGTCCGAAACAACTGACTGATTGGTTGAAATCTTTCTTTGGACCAACAATGCTACTTCTGAACAATATAAAATTTTAAGATAAGAGTTACTTTGGTCATAGAAAATAGAAAAATAATAAAAATGAATAAATAATTATAGTGTTAGATCTAATAATAGCAGTCGATGATTTTGTACATGCTCACGATGGATTGCTTCGTAAGCCATAAAAAAAAATTGTTCTTTAAAGGATATAGAAACGGCCTTACGGTACTTTATAACTATTGCTATAAATATCCGGTGTGGCAAACATTTACGAATACGAATACAGTTATGTTACGAAGTTTATAACTCGATCCTAAGTGTTAGATACAGAACAGAAAATGAAAATTATGCGATGTCTAATTACATTACATACTTTCGAATTGTATAAATAAATTTACTTATAAAGTTATGTGAATATTTTTATCTACATAACATTGGAAAACGAAACGTACTTACCGGGAGTAACAAGCAAGCGTCTGAACCAAAAGAATGACAAATCCAAAGTGCACTATCACCTATTCGACCCACCTATGTTACTTACTGGATGTCAGCTAATGGACTCGTCCAGTTTTAATGGTTCTTAAGCCCCTGTCACTTAATTAGCTTAAAACCATTTCCGTATGGTCAAATTATTTTCGGCCCATTAGTTCTCAGACCCTCGAAATAAACTATATTCACTTAAGNATAGTGTAAACTTACATCAGTTTAAACAATCTCTGCAAACGAAGCAAAACTTGAAAAAGCACTAGCATTAAACAATCGCACGAGTCAACAATAGATTCTCTCTCAACAACGAGAAAATTTTATTGTTTCTTAGTGACTCGATTTAATGTTAAAAAATTACATTTTGTGGAGAATTTCATCATTTTCGTGTCTGTCTTTATAAAGAGAGTGATTTTGACAGATCATTGCACGAGTTTCTCTCACGTTGCGGACAGTTAAAACAAAATTAAATTTCACACGCATGCTTTTGACCATGAAATTTTTATTTTCTAAATAAAAAGTTTAGTTTCAAAGTTTTTCTATAAGGAAAAGTTCGCTGAAATTTGCATGCAACTGGAGTGCATATATAATGAAGTTTGGAGCCGTCACGTAATACAGCAATGACGTTAAGTTTCGTATTACGTAATTAATCTCTTAAATACGATTCGATTATCGTAGTAAACCAAAAAAGTACAACATTATCAAAGTTAGATGTATGTATACGTAACTGCCAAGTGTCGTAGCAACTGGTAAAACGGCCTAGGAGTGTATATCGAACAAAAAAGCATTCTCATTTATATGTATACATTGACTAGCAGTTGAGCCCAGCCTGCTCGGGTAAAAAGTAACAACAAATATTAAGAACATTACATTTTTTATNAAAAATGATTATTTCCTGTTAGAAAAGAATATTATTATATATAATAATTTTAATCTTTACGATGATTTTTAATGTTCGATAGAGGAATTAGTTTATAAAAATTGTACTATTCTGTTGACTGCCGTAACACAAAACAACTGCGAAGATAGAGGAATTATTTGAATTAATTAAAATTCATATGGGATATTAATATATATACGTATGTAATTTATAAACTCTAGCGGGGAATAACAGATTTTAAAGTAGGCTATTTATTAATTTTTATTTTGCTTTAACAATTCCATTGGAAAATTAACAATGGAAAGATGCGAATTCTCCGAAAGAAACCGATCGCCGCCAACTGTGATATTTTGCTGATCAAAGTTAAAGAGTATTTAAATCTACAAAGATCATAGTGTAAACTTACATCAGTTTAAACAATCTCTGCAAACGAAGCAAAACTAGAAAAAGCACTCGCATTAAACAATCGCACGAGTCAACAATAGATTCTCTCTCAACAACGAGAAAATTTTATTGTTGCATAGTGACTCGATTTAATGATAAATATTCGCATTTCGTCATTTCCGTGTCTGTCTATTTCTAAAAAAGAGTGATTTTGACGGATCATTGCACGAGTTCGTCTCACGGGGCGGACAGTTATAAGAAATCAAATTTGACGTGCATACTTTTGAGCATGAAATTTTAATTTTCTAAATAAAAAGTTTAGTTCTATAGGGAAAAATTCGCTGAAATTTGCATCTGAGGTGCATATATAATGAAGTTTGGAGTTTTCACGTGGTACAGCAATGACGTTATGTTTCCTATCACGTAATACATCTCTTTAATACGATTCGATTTTCGTAATAAAGCCAAACTATAGGAAAACCTGCGGTATTCACGGGATAAGGCATTGAATGGAAAAAGTTTATTTGAAATTTAATATCTATTAAAAGTTACTTGTCGTGTGGACTTTTATAAAACTCCCCGCCCGTGAATACTAAGAGGTCACGTTTTATTGTTGTTGTTTGTTAAATTACGGCATCGCAACACTTGGGCGATCTGCCTAGGGGAAATGCCTTCCGGGAGGTGTTTTAAGGGTAACTGGCTTCTATTTAGGCGTTACAGACGTGGAGAAAATCCGGAAAAACTCCACGTAACCATCTCGTCCCGGCTAGGCGCAAACCCACGACCGAACTGCCAGTATTCGGGGAACGGAACCTCTTGGCCACTGGTAGGCCGGTCATGTTTTAGTAAGCCTATTATGGATTCGGGCAGGACCACAACGGGGAGGAAGAATGGTGAAGCACGGGGCCCGACATATCCGGACTGACCACCACCTGAAAAATTCCCGAGGCTTTCTCGATCCGTCTGGATCTAGTTCCTTAGAGCAACAGGATAAATTCAATAAAACCCAAGCCCTTCTGGTTAAGAAAGGAATAATGACATACAAGTTTGGAATTATCAGGACCACTGTTTTTCTCATAAACTGCATATAGAGATGTCTCGTCGGTAAACCCGGTACTAAATTCTTGCAAAAAATTTTTATCGACTCCANGTAGCAACTGGTAAAACGGCCTAGGAGTGTATATCGAACAAAAAAGCATTCTCATTTATATGTATACATTGACTAGCAGTTGAGCCCAGCCTGCTCGGGTAAAAAGTAACAACAAATATTAAGAACATTACATTTTTTATATTATATCAGATAATAGTATTGGATTTATATAACTACGAATGTTATCTTATGCAAAAGTTTGAAACACCAACTGCTACGCATTTAAAATTTTTTTTAAATTGTGTACAGTAGAGGAATAAATAATTTTGAAAATGTGTTAGGAAAGGGTTCATTATACCAAGTTGACTATCTAAGTTAACTCTTGTAGTTACATAAATGAAATACTACAGTGTAAAAATATTAAAACAAAAACCATATAAAGAGTTTGGTTATATGGCCTACCATTGTCATGTTTATCATTATACTCAAACAACACGAAATGGTACAATTTCATAGGTCAAGTAGACACCAATGTGGTATCTTCGATTTTTTCAGATACCATAATTTTTTCTTACTTATAAGAAAGTGTTCCATTTACGGGCGAATATCAAATTCCATTTAATTTCATTTTGAATTATCTATATCAAATATATAATCGAGACGGGTTGATGATAATGATAATAATAATAGTAAGCGCAGAGCCCAAACGGTTAGGAGTTGAAAGTTGAAATTTGGTACACAGATAGGGTACGTCACGAAAACGCACACTAAGAAAGGATTTTTCGAAATTTTCCCCCGGGGGGAGAGAGACAAAATGAAAACTTCTATATACATTATGGATACGAGCCCAAACGGTTAGGAGTTGAAAGTTGAAATTTGGTACACAGTTAGGGCACGTTAGGAGAACGCACAATAAGAAAGGATTTTTCGAAATTCCTCCCCACGGGGGAAAGGGACAGGATTAAGGCTTAACACTTCCATAAACAATGGAAGTGTTAAGTAACAATAAAAGTTTTAAGAAGAATAAAAGTGTCAACAATGGAAATGTTACGTAACAATGGAATTGTTAAGAGAAAACGACGTGCAATACGCAGATGCAGTTTTTTTCGATTTTGCGGGAAATCGGACATATTTTTAGACCCATCTATAAATTCTCTAATTAGTCTAGAAACAAGGGGACCCAATTCTTGCATTCTGTGAAAACGGTTGACTGTAACGTAATAATCTTTATGTTAGTTATCGTTACTTTTTCCCGAGCAACGCCGGGCCCACCTGCTAGTTATATCATATTTTGAATTATCCATATTATATCATATTATATCATTTCATTTTGAATATCAAATTCCATTTAATTTCATTTTGAATTACATTTAAATTTAATTAAATTTAAATGTAATTCAAACAGCTACAATTCTTGGAATTTTTATACCAGCAGTCATTAATGTAAAGTATGTGTACATAAAANATATCTCCGGAACGGATCATAAGATCCTAAAACAAAAGGCTTATTGCACATCTGAAGACCCATCCCTATCTTTCAACACTTAATTCGTTTAAACTCGCCAAGAAATCTACGAGGAGTTCAACTAACAAAAATCTCCATAGCTTCCTACATAATAAAGGAATTCGAACCCTTCCTCGGATGCGTAGATGCTCTCCATTCTTAATAGCATTCTTATAACTTGTAAGAAAGAGTAAAAGAATGCATGTGAGAACGGGTTCGAATATCTTTTGTTATAGTTCTCGTTTATATTTTTCCGGATATTTTGCTTAACTATTATAGAAAAACGTTACAGAATTGACAAAATAGAATGCAGAAAACTTTAAAGATAGATGCAAAAACTTTTACAACTAAATTTAATGAATGAAATGCACAAAGTACAAAAAAGCTGTAAAATTTATTTTCCTTAAATATACGATTTATGTATCGGTTGTCATAAAAATTTGTCTTTCCACTTCTTTCCCAATACTACAAATATTCAAGTACGAAGTAACCGGTTTCGACTTATTTCTACTTAAGAAATTAAATAATTAAGTGATTAGGGACATAAATAAAACCCTGCCGAAAGAGCCGAATTTTACTTAAACAAAAGCTTAACCGAGTACGGTGGGGACTGATTTCTTCGTAATATTAGATAAGAAAGACAGAAATTATTTTTCTATTTCAATGAGAGTGACCGAAAAGTTGTAAATTTTGAAAATTTCCGTGGATCCTGGTCCTAAAACGAATTAGTTAGAAAACAAATGACTGTTAAGTTTAACAAATTTAGATTTTTACAGCTATGGTGAGAAACGTTTGAAATCTACAACAACCCTGTCGCCTCCTTTGAGATATAGTAGTGATGCGACAAAAGAGGCATTTGACATTAACCGGTGTCAGCACCCTCGGAATTTGGCACGCACGCACGCACAGCACACCTACCAAGACTGTCTCTGATTCCATCCATGAGGGAGCAATTTTAACTAAGTGCATTGTTTTCAGATTTAAAAGTAAAGAATATTTTATGTTATTTTTATGTACGTTTCTTTACAAAGCTATATTTAATTATAATTTTCTTTAACTCCACGTAACCAATATGTTAGCTAGCGTGAGCGACTATACTTTTTTCCGCTTTGCCACTAGTGGAACATGTAACATTGTGAAATAACTAGTTTACATATTTAACATTGACTTTCTGCCATTGATCTTTTTGTAGCCGTACATTGATTATTTACTGTCTTCTTTTTACTGTGGTAGATATTGTCTAAATTATTCGTATCAAACACACTCTTTTCCTTTTTAATTATTTTAATTAATTATTCATTTATACCACACATCCTTTATATCACCTGTATATCGCCTTAATTACAATACGACGAATCGTATTGAAGAATTAAACATATGTTGAATTTGAACTAATCCAGAAATTTATTAATAAATGGGTTATTTCAAA